GAACCACTGCACTGCTCTGCAGGCTAATGAGGTGACACTGCTCACACTGGGTAAATGACCAGAGATAACAGGAGCAACCCAATCTGCACCACAAGCAAAGAAATTAATGACAAGTTCAAATAATAGAAGCCAGTGGGTGATAGTAGTGGGTGACTACACTCTGAAAGGCACAGAAGGACTCATCTGTTGACCTGACCCACTCTTGAGGGAGTTGTGTTGCCTTCTAGAAGCCCAAATCAGGGATATTGCTAAGAAGCTATTGTGCCTGGTAAAATCCACTGATTATTACCCAGTATTGGTGTTCCATATGAGAGCCAGTGATGCAGCCAATAGCAGTCTGAAAAGCATTAAGAGAAACTACAGAGCCCTTGGTGAGTTGGTAAAGGGTGCAGGAGCTCAGGTAATTTTTTCATCAATCCTCCAGGCCAAAGGAGTAGGGCTAGAAATGGCCAGCTGAATCTGGAAGGTCAACAAATGGCTGGAGCAATGGTGCCACAGTCAGGGTTTTGGTTACTTGGATCACAGGGTTCACTTTGGCAAGCCTGGTCTACTGAGGACTGATTGGGTACATCTCACAAAGGAGGGAGAAAAGAGAGAAAGGTTGCATGGGAACCTCATAGCAACTTTCCAGTATCTGAAGGAGGCCTACAAGGAAGCTGGAGAAGGACTCTGTTAAGAACTGTAGTGACAGGACAAGGAGTAATGGGTGTTAATTGAAAGAGGGGAAATTTAGATTAGATATTATGAAGACATTTTTTAACGTGAGGGTGGTAGGACACTGGAATATGTTGCCCAGGGAGGTAGTGGATGCCCCAACCCTGGCAGTGTTCAAGACTAGGTTAGATGGGGCCTTGATCAATCCGGTCTAGTGGGAGGTGTCCCTGCCCATGGCAGGGGGTTTGGGACTAGATGGTCTTTAAGGTCCATTTCAACGCCTTAACGTACTATGAAGCTGTGATACGTAAGCTGGGGGTGCACAGGGGGTGCCTGTTGTGGTGGTATCTGTCACCTGCAAGATTATGTTCTACCCTTGCGTTTTCTGTGCTTTTTTAATTTTGCCATATGACGCCTGGACATTTCCCCTGGACCACGAGGATCCAGAGAAGCACATCAGGAAGTTAAATGATCTCTTCCAGTGTACGCTTCTTGGCTTTTGTCATCCTTGTTTTTTCCCTGCTGTCAGACTGTGCTGTCACCCAGGTTAAGTCCACGTGGTTTCGCTAAGGGAAGCAATCTTGACTAAACTGAACTTCAGTGTCTCACATGCCATGACCAGTAATCCTTCCTGTTTCCCTCAGCCATGTGAGTGATGGGGCCACTGTAAACTTGTAATAGTAAAGATTTTACTCATGTTGTAAGTGCACATTAATTATCTGACTGCTGGATGTTCATGGTATCTCTGCTAGGCAGACACACAGAAAAGCTGTTTTTCAGCTGCTGCAATCTCTGTGTCCAGCAGTTTTTGCTTAGTACAATGTGATATGTTCCTTAACCCTTTTTTCAGTAAGTATAGTTCACAGGAGTCTGGATGAGCACAAATCTGTGCTTATAGTTGCCGAGAGCTTCGGCAGTCTTTAATACTTTGGGCTGATGCTTCTCTCTTTCTCTCCTATTCACTGCCTGAATGTCTTTGGAAAATTTCAGGTGTTTCAAGAAACAGTACATAAGGCAAAACATTTTATAGTAATTTAAAAGGAGTTTAACCTATCCTATTGTTTTCTTTTTTCCCCCTTTCACATGAAGGAGGTGATTTTCACTGCTTTCTCTCCTCGAGGAGATTCTGATGGAGCTGTCATATAAAAGTTTGCTTTCACTTGACACCAAACCCATTCAGAAATCTGAATTAAATTTTTGTTGAGTGCCACTGTCAGAAAATGCCTAATTGTGTTTATGGAGGATATGTAATTGCAGAATCCCAGCACTAGTGGGAATTACTGGCAGAACTCTTTTGGTGGTGTAGGAAAGGATGAGCCTGTCACCACTGAGGTCACTGTTCACATCTTTATGAGCTAGGCAACAATCTAGCTTGGAAGGTATGAATGCTGCAATTTGTGAACCATGTGATGCAGGGGCCTGTCATCTTCCCATGACCTTGTGATTCAGCATCTTACTGGATATGAGGTTGGTTTGTAGGTTGGCATCACCATACTTGGCTTCATGACACTGGATAGCTCCAGTCTCACAGGATCTGGAGAAACATGCAGCCACGTGAAGCCTCTAGCATTTCAAAACGAACCTGTTAAATGTAAGTGTCTTTTTTTCCACTTGCTCTCCCCCTTTCCTAATGATTTAAAATAAAGAACAGAGCAACATTGTGTGTGTTACCACTGGAATGCTTCAGTGGCATGTCACAAGCCCCGGAGTGATTGCCGTTCCAGTAGCATGAGGGAGAGCAGGGCTGCATTCTCTGCCAACCCTGTCTTTGAGTGGGCCAGTCTGTAGCCTTCAGTGCAGGAGCATGATTATGTTAGTGCTGGTTTTGTTCAAATGAATGTCTGTTGCAGTTTGAAGCTTCAAAGTCTTACTCTTGCTCTAAAGATATGCCATAGAAGGATGGACAGGTTGCACTACATTATGTCCTTTAGCCTGTTCCTGGGGTTCCCAAGTTCTGCGGGATCAGGAAGCAGAGCACTGTACTGGGGTTGCTGGCAGGAATGAGCTTCAAGAGTGAGCTCCATGCTGCATTAAGCTGTCAATGCAGATGTGCCCAGGGTGACTATTTCCCACTGCTGTCAACTGACAGAGTTGCACAGCTTTGCAAAGAGTCTGTTCCCATACTGTTCTGATTTGAAATACCACCAAATCTGTTTTGTTCAGCCTTTTGGTTGTGGTTTTAGCTCTACCTTCAGTGTCTTACTCTGTATTTGCTTATTGAAGCTCTTCCTAGTTCTGGTTTACTATGAGGCTAGTAAAGTGAATCCTTGAAAACAGTTAAGGGGAGAAAGACCTCAGTGTAAAGGCTTGACATTTCCAGAGTTTTATATGTGAAAGTTATTTACTTGGAGTGTCTTTGCAGAGATCATAGTCTGAACTGCAGATCTGTTAGGAAGGAGGGTGAACTGCTGCTTTAGCCAAGCCATTGGGGAATTGTGGAGGGAGTTGGTTTGTGCTGCAGGGTTGTGCCCACTGCTTGGGGGGCTGCTGGCCTCCCTCCTTCCTCCCTCTGGCTTGCTACAGGAAAGTGTGCCCATTATTTAAACAGCTTTGCTGATAGAAGTTAGGCTAATAGGCTGTTCTGAATTAAAAGGAAAAAAAAGAGAATCTTAAATAGAAAAGCCATTGGGGAATTGTGGAGGGAGTTGGTTTGTGCTGCAGGGTTGTGCCCACTGCTTGGGGGGCTGCTGGCCTCCCTCCTTCCTCCCTCTGGCTTGCTACAGGAAAGTGTGCCCATTATTTAAACAGCTTTGCTGATAGAAGTTAGGCTAATAGGCTGTTCTGAATTAAAAGGAAAAAAAAGAGAATCTTAAATAGAAATATCATCCGTGTTTGGTACTGTTTAATAGATGTTTTTCCTGCTAGGTGTTAATCTTCATGGGTCTTGCTAGCACTTCAGCTGCATTCACAAGCTAATAAGCTGCTAATTACCGTCCCAGCCCAGGCTAGTTAGTGCTGTTAAGAGTGTATTAATCTAGGCAGAGCTCTAAGCTAGTGCAGCTTTGCTGTTTCTAGGACTTGAGCTGATATGTTCAAAACTGACTTTAGGCTGTTCTGCATGTACAGGCTCTAGGTACTGTGATCTACCCTAGCAGGTATGAGAGCTGTTCTCCTGCTAGCACAGATGCCCAGTCTCCAGGTCCCAAGAACTTGCAGACATTTGACTGATTACCCCAGTTTATACATACCTACCATTCACTTCCCTGGAGCATGGCAGCACTGTGGATGAAGCTTCCAGAGGGAGAGGTTAGAAGTAGGCTTAGTGTGACAGAAGTCAGCAGTGAGACACCCTCTTCTCGCACCACAGGGAAATAATTCTTCCTTCCTCCTCACAGGTATGAGCTCAGGTGCATCAAAATAGCTCTTCACTAGTTCTAGCCTTACAGCTCTTCTTATGTTTTACCTGGAGAGTCAAGAGCTTGGAAGTAAAGATGTATGGATTTGTGATGGTGCAGGATATGGTATATTTTGTTTTGCTGGTAGGATGCACTGTCTTTCTAGGGCTTAGGTTGCCACATGGTTTCACTTAGGTTCCCAGTGATATCTGAGAGAGAAACTGTGTGCAGTGCTCTGCAGCAGCCTTGTAGCATTAATTTATTTGGCAAATATCACAGTTTGATTCATACGGAGAAATGGGCAAAGTAGTTGCTGTAAAACTCATGTACGTCTCCTAAAATTGGGAGTGCAAGCAATTTGGGACAAAAAGGCAAAGTATTTGAGTCTGGTTGGCCTATTTTACTGGCCCTTAGTTTCTCAACCTTTTCTTAGAACACCGAAGGAAACTGTATTAAGCATTCCCTAGGTGGCTGCGTTTGTGATGTTAGTACCACCTCTCAATGCAGCTTTCTAAAGCTTGGTTAATAAATGGTATCACTTTGATTTCTTGTCATCTGGTGCCCCATCCTGCTCTCTGCGGGTTCCAGTTCAAGAATACACAGTAATAATACACACAGTCAACAACAGAAACCCCAAAGGGTTTCTTCATACACTATAATGTTGGTGCCAGTTGAAAGAGAAAGTTAAATGAAGGGGACTGTGACTGTGAAAGGAGCAATGTGGTTAAACATTAACTGGGAAAAGACCCTTACTGATGTGATATTTTGCTTTGCTTTGCAGGTACTCTTCATCACTATGAGCTTATTTCATAGATGGGCCATAGCCATCTGAAGACACGCTGATTTAGTTACTTCCTACCAGTATGGATTGTGGTTGGTGATTGTATTTGCTCCATCACCTCTAAAGTAATGGTGTGCCAAGAACAGATGTGCAGCAGCTCTTTCTCTGGATATTGATGTGGTGTCTTCTTAACGCATCGCAACACCTTGGGCCGACTGCTAGCGCAGGATATGGAGGCTCTTGAAGTTGATGACATTAGCCCTGCCTTGGAAGTGACTGAAGACTTTTTCAACAGTTTTGATACTAAGCTTGAAAAGATTGTGCAGCCGTCTGAGGTATATGGTGTTCAGGAGGTCCCTGAACTGGTTGGGCAGGAGGTATTTAATCAGATAACAGAGAGCAGGAATCTGAGGAATGTCACCTCCTTAGCCAAAAGTAGCCTCATCTGGGATCACTGCAAAAATGGCCTTTTGGAAACCAAAGCTCAGACAGCATTCCCTGCCAAAGACCAACGTGTGGTGCAGAGGGGAACAGCTGCTGACAACCTTGCTTGGGCAGGGGAAGGGGAGACCACAGCTTTTAACATCTTCAGAATCTGCCAGCGGAGGAGAGACAGGCCTCGGTCAGTGAATGACATCCTGGTGCAGAATGAGGAAGCCTCCAGGTTCAAACAAGGACACAACAGGTCCCGCTCCGATATCACCCATGTAAATTGGGGAGTGGTCTTCACAGGCACCTCCCTGCAGCAGCCAGCTGCACCTGGTCAGGACAATAACTGCACTCTGCTCTCTTACCTGGCCTTAGCCAAGGGAGAGGACATTCAAGGAAACACAGGTTTGTGCTGGTGCTTTATTGTTTCTGTTGTTATGAGGAATTTCCCGTTTGTTTTTAATGTTTGTCTCAAAAGAGGAGCTGCATGTTCAAAGAACACAAACAAAACACCTAAAAAACCAACTGTGAGGTAACTCTTAAAAGGAGAGAAATCAGTATGACTCTGTTGTCTTTGATGTGGCTCAGTCTGTTTGCCTGCCTAAGGATCAGTTTTTAAACTAATCGTGACTTCTGTCCCTTTTGTGGTTTGAAAAGCTAAGATTGTTTTACTTTTTGCTTCCATGTTGTTTGACTCGGGAAAAAGTAATTTATTCGTTATGTATTTCTGGCCATTTTCTTACCTGATTTTCTCAAACTAAAAATAAAACTTTGCTAAAGCTATTGGGAGAATGGCAAATCCAAACAAAAGCAGTTTTCATAAAGTTAAAGAGCAGCCATTAAAAAGAGAACATACAGAGCTTTACTGTGAGGCCTGAGATCTCTGCTCTTTTTCTTTAAGATGTGCTGACTCTTCAGTCCATAACAATTAACAAAGACATGATTTGTGCTTGTCAATATTAAAGCATCCCTGCCAGCTTTGCGTGGGGTACGGGAAGTGTGGTTACCAGATTGAGGCAGGTGTCTCCAGTGAGCCATATGAAGCAGTGTTTCAGCAAGTGACACTTTTTCCTTTTCCTTTCCCAAGGGCTGCATTGGAAGAGATTGTGCTCAGGGCTTCAGAAACACTGACCCAGTGTTTCCATCTCCATGAGTTATTTCGTAGATGCCAGAAGAGGACTGGGCACTTATGGAGAAGAAAAGCAGCTAGTGCCACACTGATTTTTATAATCTAAATAAAGGCAGGGCTTTACAAAGGAATTTAAAAATCAAAAGGTTGTGAAAGCACACATGTATGCATGTGGTGGAATGAGTCCAGTTATGAATAGGTAGCCTCTTTAGGCTTAAAAAAAAGCTTTTTGTCTTCAGTTTTCCAGATTATATATCTTGGAGCATGAAAAGCAGGTGCCTAAGTGTTTGTGTGTGGTGAGATGTGTGCATATATAAATATATATAATATGTAGGTAGATGTAAGTGTATATACATACATAAACCTGTAGGTTATTGTGCTATATTGTGGCTGTTGCTGTATGCCAAAGAAGGGTGCTCTTGGATGACAAAGGCAAGTATACCTGTTGCTACTTCTGTTTAGGGAGGTATATTGCTTCCTGTAGCATAGGCTCTCTGTTCTCTGTCTATTCTATAGAAGGGATGCAGAACAGCAGTGTATCCAGAATTCTGGAAGCAGAGCTCTTAGTTTTGTCAGCTGTATCCTGGGTGTCTCATGAGTTTAACTTAACATCTCCATATATGTCATTACATGTTTTAAGCTTAATCTTTTTGGCCCCACGCAGCCTGCAGAAGAAGAAGAAGAAGGGGGTTCTATTACTTTTACTCTTTATAATAAGAAGTACCTAAGTCATTCTGTATTTAAAGACCTGTTCATGTGCTTATTCAGTGAGAGTTGTTTCAAACTGCCACTGGATCCCCAGCCTGCAACAAGCAAGTTACCATCCAGCTGGTGCTGAGCAGCAGAGTCTGAGACCAAGGTGGTCTTCCTTCAGTCAGTTCAGGGCTCAGGCAACTTGCAAGAGTACCTTGGGGTGCACCCTAGTGCATTGCACCTCTCTCTGGGGTGAAGCAAATTACATTCCCCTCTCCCTTACACACAGATGCAAGACAGTGTGATGCAACTGTTTGTAAAAGGAAGAAAATGAAACATGGAAACAATTAAGTAGATTTTTCTTCCACTTCCCACAAAGGAATTTTATTCAGAACTGCAGAGCTGGGACACCAGTGTTTCTGGAGCCAGGAGCAGCAAATTGTAGTCTCTCCCCTCTCCTGGGTAAGAGCCTCTGTACTTTGAGTAGTTGGGCTGTCTGCAGTGTTGTCCTCCTTCAACCTGTGTTCTACTTCAGCTGTTCCAGTCCACTTTGCTTAGAGCTGAGAGACCCCAGGGAGAGATGCACTAACCCTCTGGAAGCCCTAAAAGGGTCTTCTGTGTGCAGAGCCAAGTCTATAGCAGGACTTCAAACCTGAGAAGTCTTGATGGCAGCTTGAGAACAACTCAGTAGAAAACCTTCCATAATATAAACATGGGAGGAAAAAGCAAGAAATGTGCTCTGTGTGCAGGTGGAGCTAAGCATGGGATTCAGTCACCCCATTGCCATGTGTACCCAAGGTGTGCTCCTTTGATAGTGGCAGTGGAGTTCAATTGTACTATTCTCAGCCCCACAACAGGCACTTACACTGTTTAAATGCTTAATCCAATGAATTTTTTCTCCATACAGAAAAAGTGAAGAAGCTAATTAGAGCATGATAAACTCTGTCATTATGACTTCATGTTAAACAGTGAGTTACAACTGAGAAAAACTTGCATCTGTAAAGTAGTTTTGTGAAGTATAGCAATACTAGTACTCTCAAGAAAAACAGAAATTGACAGATTCCCATGAAGAAAACTCTTGGTTTTAAACTGTCTGCAATAGTGCCAGGTATCTTACAGCCCATAAATTCAACAATTTCTCTGTGGTACCAGGAACAAGTCCTGTTCCTGTGTGCAGTGCTGCCAGAACTGCAGGTCTCTTAAAAATGGCTTTTTACAGAAGAAATTCTGTATGGTCAAGTTCTGGGACCTCAGAGGTGAACTGAGCTAGGGGAGGAAACGGATTAGAGAGAGTGACTGAAGAACGTTTCCCACTACTCCCCTGTGACCCAGAAACAGTCATTACCTCTAAGGTGCTCAGCCCACACTCTTTTTAAATTGTGTTCTGCAATGGTGCAAGGCATTTCGTAGAATCTCAGAATGGCCTGGGTTGAAAGTGGCCTCAAAGATCATCCAGTTCTAACCCTCCTGCTGTGGTCAGAGGCACCTTTCACTAGACCAGTTTGCTCAGAGCTCAACCCAACCTGGCCTGGAACAATTCCAGGGGTAGGGCATCCACAACTTCTCTGGACATCCTGTTTCAGTGCCTCACCACCCTCTGAGTAAAGAATTTCTTTGTAATATCTAATCTAAACCTACTCTCTTTCAGTTTGAAGCTATTCTCCCTTGTCCTTCATTACATGCTCTTGTAAATAGTCTCTCTCCATTTTTCTTGTAGGCTCCCTTCGGGTACTGGAAAGTTACAGTTAGGTCACCTTGAAGCCTTCTCTTCTCCAGGCTGAACAATCCAAATTCTCTTAGCCTTTCCTCGTAGGAGAGGTGCTCCATCCCTGTAATTAGCTTGGTTGCCCTTCTCTGGACTCACTTCAACAGGTCAATATCCTTCTTGTGCTGGGGTCTCCTGAGCTGGATGCAGTGCTCCAGGTGGGATCTCACCAGAGTGGAGTAGAGGGGCAGAATCCCCTCCCTCACCTGCTGCCCACACTGCTTTTGATGCAGCCCAGGACGCAGTTGGCTCTCTGGGCTGTGAGGGCACATTGCCATCTCATGTCCAGCCTCTCATCCACCAGCTCTCCCAAGTCCTTCTTGACAGGACTGCTCTGTCTGTTCATCCCTCAGCCTGTATTGATACTGGGTTTGTCCCGACCCAGATGCAGCACCTCGTGCTTGCATGCGATTCCCATGGGCACAGTCAGTGCTTGCTGTGTGCCCTCCAAGAGCCCTTCTGCAATGGGATGTTTGAAGGCAGGGGTACCTTCTTTGAGGAAGGAGAGCATCTGTGCTCTGAAAATGTACTGTTTTAACCTGTTTCCTTTAGCTGTTCTGTTCAGCTACTGTACACGTTTTAGAAAGTAGTCATGCTATTTCTGCCCTCTGTGTTTACAAGACAGCCTGCCATAGAGTTTGCTGCTACTGTGAGCTGAGCTGAAAAGAGAAATGCAAAAGCAAGAAAAGATGTTTTGCGGATATGTGTATCTGCAAATAGTAATTGTTGTCCAGAAAAGATAAAAAAATGTATTTTGATGTTGGCTAAAACCTGTTGCAGTGGTTGAAGGGCTCATAGTAGCCACAGCCTGTGGAGACATCCCTTTCCAGGGCTTTAATCCAAATTAAATGAATGCTATAAGATACTGAGAGCAGCTTCAGCCACTCCTGTCAGTCCTCACTGCGGTAAAAGACTTCCCTCTGGAGTCTCAGAGGTCTCCCAGTCCTCCAAGGCTGTCCCAGTTGCTGCATAGATTAACTCTTCACTTTTTATTTTCTTTATCTTCATAGTATTTTCATTACTATGACCCTATCTGTACCTGCTGCTTGCTTTTTTGTAGAACTATAGAATCAATTTAGGTTGGAAAAGACCTCTGAGATCATCAAGTCCAACTGTTAACCCAGCACTGCCAAGTCCATCATTAAACCTTAATGCAAATAAAATGACGCTGGATCCCTTCCACGTGCTGAAAAAGAGAAGGCTCTGAAAAGAGGCTGTGCCTTTTTGGGCAGTATCTCCTTAGGCCTGCTGGCAAAACAGTTAGTGTGCTAGAAAAAAACACTGTGCTAGGGAGAGTATTAAGTGGGAAGTGGAGCTAGCAAAGGCAGAACTTGCAAGCAAATTCAAGGCAGACTCTTGTATGTCTGGGCGCGTGGCCTGGCAAACAAAGGGGGAATGCTGCTTCCATAGTATCCAGCAAAAGCTTGCTTAGATCTTTAAAACACAGTGTGTGAGCAGTTACCTTTCGTCCTGTGGATGTTATCATTCAAGCCCAGCCACTCCTGAGAGCGTGGGGCTATAGTACTTTTCTCAGGTAGCTGTTTTGTTTGCCTGCCATGCCTGTGAGCTTTGGGGAACTCAAGAACTGTCACTGTGTTGAGCACCTGCACACTGACGAGCTGTCTGTACTGCAGAAGGCTGGCACCTTGTGCCCCTGTCCAACAAGCAGCTATGGAGGTACTCAGTCAGCCCCATTCATTTTGGCAGTGTGTTCTGTGAGGAAGCTGAGCCTAGGGGATGTTTGCTGCACTGTAGTGTGGCAAAATAGACCTATCAGAGTAAGTTTGCCCAGTTCTAAGTCAGTCATAGGCCCAAATT